TCATTGGGAGAACTGAGGTGCTTGAAAATCCCAAATTTGGGAGATTTCAAGCGTTGGAGAATGTTAAAATACCAGAGTAATCAGAACTGGGCTTGGTTAGTAAGTGGACTCAGACTTCTCTGTCTGTTATTCTGCAAACCTGGCTCCCAGGGATTGGGACTGAGAATAGGTAAAGAGTGGATGGGAGAAAGGTCAAGTGTTGGGTAGGTATTGTCAGGACAGTGTCTTCGTGGGTACTGGGAAAGTAGGTGAGAAGCAGGAGTGCTGCAGGTAAGCTTTCCCTTGGCCACCATGTGGGCGATAACTAGCTGCAGTCTACACTAGGCTACTCACTGCTGATGTGGAAAGAAAACCTACCAGATGCTTAATAAGCCTAGAGTGGCTAATTTCTTTTTAGTCTAAATTCATTTTACTTCAAATTCCTACTTGAACAAACTTCCTATCTCCAATCAGAAACTTCGCAGCTGGAAAAGAAAACAGAATAGCACTAGATTGTCTAATTGCAACACAAACTGAGAAGTGCATTCACTGGGCTGTAAAGGGTGCAATCAGCAGAAGAGTTGGCGGTCATCAAATCTCCTTCTTCCACATATCAGAAGCAAAGGTTTTGGTGGTAGTTTAATCTTCCTTTAACTGTTCTGGGCCAGTGTAACTTAAATTTCAGTCAAGTACTAATACTACAATTTCAGTCCTACCAAGTGTCATGTAGCATATTGTTTATTTAACATTTTTATATCCCCAAGAGCACCTGCATTATTTACTTAGTATTTTATTTACAAACCCTAAAGTATATTTCAAATGGAAATGTAACATCATTGTCTAAATGGAAACAATATCACTTTTCATAGATAGAAGGTAACGTTATTTTGCTTTCAGTTAACTTTAATTCTAGCTAAAAGTGTCTGCAAGATAAAGCACCAGTCCAACTCCTGTTTTTCCTTTGTCAAACAGGAATAGCAACAAGTTTACTGAGTTTTAAGTGACAAAGTACCAAACTAAGACTTATTCCTTGACATAAGCAAGAAGACTGAAGGAGGAATGAGAAAGCATAACTACCCGCTATGTGACTCAACGCCCCTAAAGGCCAGGTGCCACTGAAGTCTTACTTCAGTGAGGTGCTTCTCTCCCCACTGGGAGGCAATACAGTTGTAGGCTGTAGTGCATTAATAGAATAAGTAATTGGCTACAAAGAGGATTGTTGATAAACTCTGTGATTCATAGAATTCCATTTAGGATTGTTATGAAGCATAGACAATATATTCTTTGTCCTCTATGGACATTATAAATCTTATTGGATTATTCTTCAAAGTAAAAATTGCTTAGACAAATAGCTTGTATGACAATTAAAACGTAGTCAACATTTACTGTATATTTGAGTTTAAATTATTCATTTAATTTCTAATTTGGATTATGTTTCTCCATTTTTCCTTCCCTATAAGGATCACTTCTTCTTGACTAAAAGTAATCATGTGGTAAAACCTCACTTGAAGATCTCCCAAAGTATATAAGAATACTACAGTTCTGGGATTCCTTATCAAATGAGAACATCTCTTTCCATATTTACTATTTCATCTGTTTTCAGAGAACTCACAAGAACGCTATAAAGTCTGAAGCAGGAGATTTTCTTCTGTTCTGTATTGACTCTTGTGTACTACTGTCCACCACATTTCCATTTTATATTTATGTCCCACAGAGTCCTGGCAGCTCTGTGCACAGCCAAATTCCTCAGATATCTTACAGTGCTCTTGGAAGTCAGGTTTGATAGTGTTGTTGCTTTTCATAAGAAACCAGAGCAATGAATAGCTATTAACATTCTCAGGATTATTTAACAACAGAAACAAAGCATAACCCCCAAGCCCTCATTTCTCTTGCTGTGGGGTGGGATGGTTGGGAGTAACTCAGATAAAAATAAACTGGATTTTTTTCTTTTTTCTTTGTAATTATAGCCCCTTTGTAATTACTCATTACCACCTCAATAGTTATTAGATGAATAAATATATTTTTTTAGATGCGGCAAAACTAAGAACAAGTAGTCAGGGCTGCATCTAATTTATCAGCTTGGTGATTAAAGGGCTGGCTCTTGAGGCTCCAGACATCTAGGGACCCAGAGATAAAGCAGAAGAGTTGGCTGTGTTTTTTACTAATGATCCAGGGCTTGAAAGATATCAGACAATTTTAAAGAAAAGCAGCAAGGACAAGAGACATTAGCCAAGGCTAGTAGGGTAATGAAGGGCAAGGCCAGTTACTGAGAGAGAAAATTACTTCATTTTCTATGATAATGCTGCTCCTACATGCTCTGAGGGTCTGTTCTTATGCTTTGTTAGTGCTACTGTGTACACATACAGTATCCGCACACTACTCACTGTGTAGAAGGGAAGAGCCTTGGACTGTTCCACAGAGGGGCAGAGGGCTTGGGTCTATTATTTTGAAATTGGGAGGCTACGAACAATGGTAGCAGAAGGGGGTTAGACTGCAAGGTGAGGACAGTGCTTTGACAGAATGTGAGGGACGCACAGGATTAAATCAAGACAAAAGACATAGCAAGGAAAAGAAAGAAATCGGCAAGCAAACATACTCTGGAAGTGCAGAATTATGTTGAAGATGAAGTGTTACACACCAGCCCAATGGCAGTCAGCCAATCTGCAGCACAGCCGTTGGGCTTACTTTGCTCACTGGCTCTTTTTCAGGGGCCGAAATGAAAAGAGCACTGGACACTGGACTCCTCAGCTAGCTGGTCAGCAGACACATGTTCTGCTTAGCAGGGAAATGTGCAGTATTTTAGGTATTTTAGAAACAATTCCAGAGTATATTTAGCTCCCCAAATTTGAGCACACAAATGTCACATTCCCATGAGAAGATCGGCCCAGTGAAAAGAGCACCCATCAGAGGTCCTCAAAACCCAGGAAGGTCCTGCATCCCAGAAGATGCGCACACACGGATGTGACATCACTCAGGCACCAACATCGGGGGATGAAAAGAAGCGAGGGGATCACAGATTGGTTCAAGTTAAGGGCTGTCACAATGAGTCAGAAAAGGAACAGGACTTTTCCAACAGAATAACGCCACCACCAAGTCATACCACACAGTGCTTGGCAAAACAAAAGTTTGAAATAAATCATGAACAGTAAACAGAAAAATAATTCAGAGTCAAATGGAAATTAAAATCATGGTAAAAGGAACATTGAGTCATATCATTTTAAAAAAAATTTCTTCATCACAACTCATTGGCATTGCCCCATCACACATATAATCAACTGTCAGAAATCAAACTCAAATTTGACAGGGCAAGGCAAGGAGTGCACAAAAACAGTGAGCATGTTAAACACCCATGCAGTCACCTCTGCCACCATTGTTTGACAATGTGTAGACTGCTTCCAGCTTTGTCAATATTCATAATGAGACCCAGGAGAATGCACAATGCTGGATTTTAAAACAATCTGTCAGAGTGTTAATTGGACTCTTCAAGAACCTCCTTCCTTAGGGGAGTTAACGACTGGAGAAAATCCATGCCACCCCTCTCAGTGAAGTGAAAAGAAAATGACTGCAACCAACAGATAGAAATTTGGTTAACACGCAATGTTTTACTGGAAAGACTGTTCCAGAACATCACAGTGGGCAAAGACAAAATGCTTTCTATTGAGTTGTCTCTTCTGGAGAATAGAGCCAAGACCAACCGACCCATCTTGAGTCTGGAGCCACACATCACAAATGAGGGCACACGCTGGGCTTATGGCTATCCAGGCAGTTTGTCCTTCATCATTTGCTTTCTCAGTTTGGTAAGAACAGAGATCCCTCTGACTTAAAGAGGCAGAGAATAACATGCCCCCCACCTTTAAATAGATTTGTGGCAGGGCATACTAAGAAAAAGAACTCTATAGCAGCATAATAACATCAGTGAAGGGGCCATGCTCAAGAATAAGATAAAAGTGGCAAGTCTTTACATCAAGGCTTAGGAAGTAGGGCAGCAGAGAGCGCAGTGCTCTCAGAGGAGGAGAAGCAAGAAAAAAAAGAGGATCAAAATTTAGCATGAGCGTCTGCCCAGAAAATATTCTACTAAAGCAAAGATGGAAATATAGATGCAGGAAATCCTGGGAGAGGGCATGACAGAGACTGTCTTCCAAGGGTCACAGTGGCTGCACTGCCCTCGAAACTGAAACCCCAGCTTAGATGGAACTCTTGAAAACATATAGAAATAAACAATTCTGAATGGGAGGAAACAGGTCAGCAACATAACTGGGCTTTTCAGCCTCTGATTTACAAGACTGTTTTTTGGACAAGAAAAAGCCTCTTTGGTTGCAGCTGCAGCTGAAGTAGGATGTGTTACCAGAAGCAGCGAATGGCAAGAAAAGAGATGACATTTCCTGTCTGTAGTCAAGCAAAGAAAGCAAAGGAAAATTTGGGACAGTTCACAGTGGAGTCCCTTTCATTTAGTGTGGCTTCCTTTCCATTTTAAATGCATAGCAATTCTGCTTGATTAAATAACATATTTTTGTTTCAGCTGCTGGCCTCTAAGGGCAATTACAGTAGTCTGAGGATGACAGCCCTATTCAAATTCAGCACCATGTGAGAGGGAGAGATGTTTCCAGCCAGAGAAGTCTTTGCCCTGCTATTTCTTAACTCACTGATTAATGGGCTTTTACTTCAAGTACATTCACTTGCCAGAGCCTGCACAGCATTCCATCACATTATGGTGGGAAAAGGTGCAAAACTCACAGCGTGAAACTCGGAAGCTGGAAAGGGATCTTAGGAGCAGCATCTGCTTAGGGCTAAGCCACACTTCTCCTAGGAGAAAGGAGCTCAGAGGAGGTGCTATTTGTTTTGTGTGGTTTCTTCTTGGTCAGGGCATAGTCTAGGATCAAGCCTCACACAAGGTTGGGTTGCAGTCTTTTCTGAGAAGAGGACCCATAAATGTTACTGGGGTTCAGCTGGAAGCGGTCACACAGCCCTCCTCACGCTTCCCTCCCTCTCCCCCCAAAGTCGAGGCATGTCCAAGGCCTTACCCTTCTTGTCTTGGTGATTATGGGAAGACACTGCCCCCAAAGGGTCTGTGTTGCCAGGTGAATCGAGCAGATCCTTCCAGTCCAGCATTTCTCCCCTAGACTCATACCCCTCCTGAGCCGCCGAATCTGACGTGGTGGTGCTGGGCAAGAGGGAACTGGCGTGCCCTGTTTTCATCACAAATACAGTTAGGGTAGACATTGCCGAGAGACCCACATTCTCTCTGTCCAGAGGCCAGGACCTGGGACACTCATGCTGGCTGTGAGACCGGGAAGACATGGCCCTCACAATGACAAGGCGAACTGGTGGTAGGGAACGTGGTGTGCTCTGCCAAAGTCACAGTTAGATGATGAAGAGCCAGATCCTACTTCAGTCAGTTGGTGAGTAAGCCCTGGGGAACACTTACCACTCCCTCTGTGCATACAAGGGTAACAGACACTTCCGAGAGTTGGGAAGATAAAGTCTCATAACAGTGAAAGCATCTAGCACAGTCTGATCCATAGTAAATGCACAAGAAATAGAATTGTCCTTCTATGGCTCCCATGGCAGCATTCAATACAGAATGTATCCACTCTGGGGACACTGTAACTGGTGGGCAGGTGTACAGGAATTGGGGGGGGGGTGCTCCTGATGACCTCAAAACTCCTGTCTTGAGCCCTAATGAGGAAGCGCAGTGGTGTGTCTAACCTCGTGTTGACTCAACTTCACAGGGACTCCCTGTTCTGAGTTTCTGCTTTCCAAAGACAACTGCACTCACCTCTTTCTCACTGGAATGGGGACTCTAAGTGCTACACAGTGTTATGACTGCATTCTGTGTCAGGACTCATATTTATGACATGTTGTTTTCACTGACTCACTGAGTCAGTTGTTTCACTGACTAACATGAGTCAAAGGAAAAAAAAGAGAGAGTTTTGAGATCCAGAGTAGTCCACCATAGGATATGGTGAGGTTGGGAGCTACGGCAGACACTGTGGACATTTCCTGTTAGCAACCTTGTGAGCACACTCTCCATCATTTCTCAAGATTAAGTGCAGACTGTATCAGGTGCTTTGGTCTAAGCTGTCACAATGATTTAAGGAAGCCCTACTACCTGTTCTCTTCAGTTGAAATAAAATATAACCTCTCTGTGATTTTCCAGTGGATTTGGCTTATTAAACCATCTTGCCTGTAACAGCAGCCTCTTGAACAATTTTTAAAAAGACATCAGGACAACTACCGAGCATATGTAAACAGTGTCTTTGGTGGAAAGTAGGTCAGATTCACAATAATTCTCAAACTTCCAGCCTTAGGATGTGATTACCATGTACACGATAAATAAAATGACACTAGAAAGATAGGTAATAATGATAAATACATTGCATTCGTCTTTTTGCACAATCATTGGAAGTTGGATTTGCAGAAGATTTCACAGTGCAAACAACAGACAACGTATTTTTAAAATAGCTTTTTATCTTTAAAACTTTTGCTTAGCAGGGAAAAGCAAGCCAAGTGGCTTATCTAAGTTATGACAATTCTGTGGAAACACCACACTTAAATGACACCACAAAGCTTTGGTAACATTTAAGAAGTCCCTTTCTATGCAGAACTGATGTGGCTCACACAGCTTCAAATATCCACTTGGTTGAAAATAGTCTGCTTCATATCCCACTGCTAAGAATGTGTTCATTTAAGACTCAAGGAATGCTTGACTTTAGAGTCTTTATTTTTGTGTTTCTGAGTTTCACATCTCATTGCCTGATACTGATAAGAGAAGAGGGACAGGAAAATGAGCCTAAAAAATGGAAATAAAGAATTTTGTTATTTCCTTCTTGCCTACATTGAAGTCTAAAATATAAACTCTATTTTCCTCTCATGAATTTAAGACTACCCTAATGAATAATATGATTGGCTTAAGAGAGAATTCAGCACCCTGCATAAGCAGTTATAAGTAGCTTTTAGGGAGTTAGAGAAAGGGAGGAAGAAAAAAATTTCCCCTCCAAGTAGCAAGAATTTTTTTTTTTTTTACCTGAAATGATATACATTTTGAGCACTTTAAATTTAACTGTGTTCAAGGGGCAATTTTATGGTAATGCCATAAGTATGGTTTAGGGAAAACATTTCTTAATATGGTAATCTAGGGGAAATATATGCCTAAGGGACACATTCTCTGTAGAAAGATTTCCTGGACCATATGCTGCAAATACATGGAAAACTCATTGGTAATGGAAAGCTATGGCTATGAGACAAAAATTAATGTGGACCAGATGGTAGTTAGGTGGGAAAATGCTTTACACAAATGCGAGAAATCAGCCTCTTCTTCTTATCGCTGAAGTGTTAGTCTAATACCTACCACTTCTCTGTTTTCTATATGTAAATCTAGAGAAACCATGCATCCGATTTACTCAAAAGAAAAAAATATAGAGAGCAGCATGAGGTTTGTAATCTTTAAACTTACACTTTAGGATAACAAATGGAACATGTGCCAGTGGAGAATTAAACAGTCAGAGAACCACCATGGAAAAACACCACTAAGAAGAAATCCTTCACTTGAAATCAAGATGTGCATTACTATTATCTTTCTAAGCTTAAAAGGTTATAAGGAAACCACTGTATTCCTTGTAATTTGATTTTAGAAGCTCTATTATTTTTATGCATCTCTTAAGAGACTTTGTAACTTTTGTCGCTACAAAAATAGGCAATCATTTGTGGATACAGTATTTTATGAAATACACAGTATTGTAATATATTTGCAACCTATGATTTTGTCTTGTCAATGCAAAAGGTCACATTTTAATCAGTGGAGCTTATGCTATATTATTATTAAAAATGTGAAGACATAAATATTACTTAAAAAGTTAATTTTAGAACTGAGAGTATTGGTGCATACCTATAATCCCAGAATTCTGGGAGGCTGAGGCAGGAGGATGGCAAATTTGAGCCCAGCCTGGGCAATTTAGTGAGACTTTGCGTCAAAATAATAATATTTTTTAAATGGCTGGAGTGTAGCTCAGAGAGAAGGCCCTGAGCTCAATTCCCAGTACCCAGTACCATACACACATGAAAAAAAAAAAGTTTACTGCAGTGTATAGTTTCTCTACATCTACAAGTCATTGTGAGTCTAGAAGTTAGAGAGCCTTCAAGCTACTCAAAAGTATTAACAATAATTATAGCCAATTAAACATACAAGGGAGACACTAAATAGAGAAAAAGAGGGGAGGAAATTAATCAGGGTCCAATTCACTAAAAAAAGTTTTTACATATGTAACTGGTGTCACATACTTTTTGCCTACAGAAAGTTTACATGATTATTGAAATGATCCCTTTCCCAAAATGGGTAATTCTAGTTCTGTGGTTTGCTCTATGGACCTGCACCTAGCCACAGTCCAGGACACGCAAAGGACACAGCTAGAAACTGCATGCGTGTACTTTGGACTTTAAGATTGGCTTTCTCATCTATGTTTATGCTCATAAAACAGCAATTTGATCCTTTCTTTGATGCTCCAAACAGAGCTCCTGGTCCCTGCCTGGACCAGAGAAAGCACTCAGTAAATATTTGCCAGATGAATTAATTAAATCTCTTCTGAGTTTATTAATCCAAAGTAGATATCTCTTGTAATAGTTTGTAGGTAGAGAAAAACTTTCTATATTTTTATAAATACTGTCTGAATCACCACTCATTTGGATGGTCAATTAATCACCCAACTACTTCATAAGGACAATGCCAACTCGTCAGTTTCATCACAAAAACTACAGATCAGAAGCTGAGGATGAACAGGCATTGTCTTTTATAGTGTTAATATGGAAAAATAAGTATTTTTCCTTTGAAAAGGAAAAGAGAGATCCATAGCTTGGAGAGTGATTATTTTGTTCATAAAAAGCATCCCATAGTTTAATTATTCTATCTGAGAAATTTCCCGGGAGTTAAAATTGATATTAGTTTAACTGATGAATGCTGGGGAGGTTGCTGGCTCAATTAGCTTCAAGATTTCTCAATATCCGATAAAGATTATTCAGTTATAGGAAATGATTGCAAAGTATGATACTGGAAAAGAGCAGATGCTAAGATGGGTTTTCTTCCTGAAGGCTAAGGCTAAGCTACATGACATTTTCTTCCTGAGCAATTTTCACCAGGTCTTTGGTGTTAAATATTCTGGTAGGTGAGAAAATGTTAAAAATGGATGAACTCTGTAAGTTCTTCTACTCCACCCAGCTCACTTTGCAAGGGTGTGGGTCAGGAGAAATGAGGCAGCTTCCCAATCTTTAAGGTTTCAAAGAGGGTTTTTATGTATGATAATCAGACATTAAGAGTGAAAGTTTATATAGAGATACCAAACACATCTGTAACCATCTTGAACTGTTTCTTTGTATCAAATTTGTACATTGCTTTCTTTTCTTTCCTTTTCCTTCCTTTCTTTAAATTTCCCCCTCCTTTATTGCCTACTCCTATATTTATAGACTATGCTGTAACTATTACTTTGTTGAGTCTTAAACTCACAAACTATAAATGGCTGGATTCATAGTCCCCATTAAAATGTAAATGGTTAAATTGGTCATCACATAGATGTTTTTCATATTATATTAAAAAATAACACATGAAAGGTTTATCTGAATAAATATTCAGGGGTACTTTCAGAAATATAAGCAGAAAAGCTACATATCAACTGTTCATATAAAGAGTTCAGAATATTCTGTTTATGGACTTAGTAGCTTTGTTTAATACAGTGCTCATATATCTCAGACCAGAACAATGGGATAAATTGTAACATTTCCATTGTGTCACTCTGCCTTGTATACATTCTGAAGAAGTCTCACTGAAAATGTGTTTAAATATTCATACTAGTTGTGAGCTTAAATTTCAATGGCCAATTTCATGCTATATTGAAAAGCTTTGCCTAATAAGAACCTGCTGTTTGTACCCTGTATAGATTTCCCTTGTGGAGGGTACTGTCCTAAGAGCCAAGATTCTTAGGAGTGATATTTTCTATCAGCCAAGGAGCTATGGTCTATTAGTTATAAGCACTATTCTTTTTATCTTGGATATACTTATGTCCAAAAGCAGTTTTTTCTCCCTCAAGAACTCATTAAATATATTCACCAAATTCCTGAAGGTTGGCATATTTCATGTTATATAGATTAAAAATTTAGGACTCAGTCTCCCACATTAACTGTCTCATATAAGCAGAGTGATTTTTTTTGAGGCATAGTGAAATCTATAAATAATTTTAGTGAATTGGGTTCCTGAAGTAACAAAGAAGCTGGTCCATAATATTTAGGAATGAAAACTACAAACTATCATAGGATGAATGACTTTAAGAATTAAAACAAACAAACAAACTATATATATATATAAAATCAATAAACTGACCATACACTGTGTTGTAAGACATTTCATGATCTGGTAGTGGAGTTGAAATGTCTATAAAAAAATAATGAGGATAAAAAAATTAATTAAAAAGAAACCTAAGATTTGAAAATACTCAAGAGGATTAGTGAAATAGGATTTCTAAGATAGATTTCCACTGATATTAAATTATGACAGCAATATCTTCCTTACCATTCAGTGCCACGAAGGAATCTGAAAGACAAAAGGGAGGAGGAAGTTACTTAATGTTTCACACTCTGCTTAGTGCGACTTACACAATAAGTGGGAATGAGCGAATCAGAACTATGCCAACATATGGTCCCTAATATTGAGTGCTATTAAATTCCTGCTTATAAACTAAAATACCTTCTACTCAGTCCAATTTCTACTCCTATTTCTAGTCCTACTCTCAGCCAACAAGTGAGTTTCCTCAAAGTCACTTCCAAGAGGCAGAGAAGAATGAAGACTTAGCAGAGGAAATGGCTGTGATTCTGGGAATTTTAGTCCTGCTTTATACTGAGGGGCAGGTGTATGGATAAAGTAAATGGTGTCTGGGCCACACATTCAAAGAGAGAACTTCTCTTTATATCTTCTTGTCTCGTTTTATTCTCATGGCCACGCTAGGAGGAATGTCCAGCACCACAATGTTCTGAACTCAGTAGGGGTTTCGTCTGGAATTTAAAACAGCACAAAAATAAATAACTAAACTCATGCACTTATTAGGCAACATCTATATGTGGATGTGTGTGGGGTGTATCTCAGTTGCTCATTATGATTTCCTCACTTCTTCTCAACATCCAGGTAGAGCATCATTGTGCGCCAATGACCTGAATGCTCTCTGGAATCCCAGGTGGGAAGAAGCCAGTTGCTGCTCCAGTAAGAGCATGGGGAAAGGTGAAGCTCTGAGGGAAGACAGCAGGCACAGGAACAGCCTCACCTCCTGCTCTGGGCAAGCACCCTCAGTGCTCAGCAGGAGTGAGGGCAAAGTCTGTAAACACAATAGGAGACATGCAGAGAGTTTAGGGTCTTGACTGCTGAGAATAAAGTCCCTGCATTGGGACCTGGGTCTCCCCTATGCTAAATACAGGTCCTTGTGCCTGAGAACACAGATATGGGTGTCAGTCTATGGATATAGCAGACAATTAATAGACATGGTAATAACCACCTTCACGTTCTTCTACTTCCTGGTTCAATCCAAAGGCACATCTCTATTCTTCTACAGATGCTCATATCATCAGATCATAAAAATTATGATGAAAATGGTTCACTTAAGTCAACTAAGTAGCTGTGAACACACACAGACACACAGACATACACACAATCACACACAAAACTTGTTTCTCCAAAAGTGAAGCGATAAGATGAAGGCCTAATGATCAAACTTCAGAATGTTTCACTGATACGGCAAAAGTATGTAAATATGTGACACAGACATTTAGTGATAACACCGTCTCCTACATTAGTTTTTAGCTTGTAGATTTTGCATGTGAAAGCACATTAAGAGTTTTTTGTAATATAAAGTATTTGTAAACAAAAATATATATAGGAATGAGTTTGAAGATAAGGCTACCTACAGCCATTTTTACTTGATTATATTTGATCTCTAAAAAAATGTAAGGTCAGAAGTTGAATGACATCCTAGTTTGAAATTTCAGTGCTCATGGCTCAAAGGTTTAGTTATTTTCCTGACCTGCATTATAGAATTATTAGAAGTCATCCAGTTTTATTCCCTTAGGAGCTACGTTTTGGTGCCATCGTGAATGCAAACTTCTGAAATTCACATGCAACATTTTAAAAAATCACAAAATAAGGATATTTTCCAAAAGTTTGGTATTAGTCTTTCAATTAGTATTAATACAGCATATTCAAGAGAACATTGCTATTAATCAGGTCAAGGATATCTGGATAGAATTTTGACCAGGATCTTTTGTATAAAGTTTTAACTAAAATGTTACCACTTAATAACATTTAAAATAAATTCTAAGATTAGCATTGTAGGTTAGATCCTATAAAAAGGTTATTTCAAATCACTTTGTACTTACGGATTATTTCTAAAAGTTGTTTCCTATCACAAATGGTAACACATAAATCTAATTCTAAAAATAATTACTTTCATCAGTCAATATGTTCAAGAATAAAACAGCCCTACTCAATTAAAAAGCTACAGCACAATGATCAATCTTTTTATTATTTGGCTAAAAATTACAATGTAATAGCACATTAGAAAAAAGTCAAACTGTCATTTTGTAATAGAAATGCTGATATAACTTACTGCTTTGCTATAATTAATATCCTCTAGAGTGAATTTGTTTCACAGCATTAGAATAATGAAATGGGGGCAGCATTTATAGCAACGACATTGACAGCACTAGCTGTCATGCAGACTGCTTTCTTTAGTTGATACTGGGCAGATGATTTCTGATATTTATGTATGTTTCTATGTCAGCCACACCAATCTGACATGTAGGATAATGTTTCTAGGCCATTTGATAAAAGCATCTTTACTCAAAAATGAATATGGATAAAAAGCTCTACTTACTGTGACAGTCTCCCAGGCCGTCTGTGTTGCCACGCTCTATGTCCTGCTCAAAAGTCAGTCTTTAAAAAAAGGAAGACAAGGAAAGAAACATTACAATATCATGAGTTATTACTCAGGAATGAGCCTTAAGTTTCACTAAAGACAGAAACATCATGTGATAAATGGAATGGCAGGGGCAAAAAAAATAGGTAACAGCTTGAAAATTTATCTCAAAAGTTTATAGAAATGAGGCTTGTGTGAATCTCCAAAAGAAAATCCACAGTTTAAACAGTTAATTTTGACCTAGAAGCCTAGAAATTAAAACTAGTTTTTTCCTCTCTACTTTCTCTTTCACTCCTACTCTTGCCTTCCTAGTCCATTTTCTATTTCTTTGCTGAGTAAAGACTCAGATAACCAAGTGTTCCAAGATATAAATGGCCAGCATGGGGCCAGTGGGGGGACTGAACCTAGTGGTGCCTTTGCTGAGACCACTTAGATTCTGTGCTCACTGTCTGCTCTGCCCAGATCATCAAGAGCATTACCACTCTCCTCCTGCACATGCTCATTTTTCTTTCAAGTCTATTAGGTCGCTGATGGGCTGTTCAAGGCTCATAACATTAGCAAAACCAATTTCCATAATACCTACTTTGATTTAAAAAAAGAATAAATATCCCAAGAAGAATAAATATCCAAAGGATAAGTATTATCCAAAGGAATACTGCCCTTCTTTAAGGGAATGTTGTGTTTATTTCCATAATATAATTGAAATTTCTGTTTTGTGATTGCCCTCAGAGTTTATTTGTGAGCCATCTAAAATTGTTTTGAAAGTTATATCCTGATCTAATAATCCACCAAGTTTAATGTCTAATGTCTTTTACTGCATTAAAAATAAAATTCATCCTCAAATGGTAGAGACTGCTTGTGTTAATAAAAGCCAGTATTCATCTACCCCTGAAGTCTACTCTCCAAGCAGAGTCCCACATGTTTTGAGCAAAGCCAGTGTCACTGAACATGTAAACAGACCTTAGAAGAACCATCTTGGAGTTCTGATGTTGGTTTAAAAATCATGTATAGAAAATTTCGTTACCTTTGTTCACACAATGAATGCCTCACTGTGCTTTGTGATCCTTTCTCTTCCACCCCAAGGTTTCCCATGAAAAGATATAAAGCTCACACTAGAGTATGTCAATGATGCTACTTGCAAGGCTGTTCTTATAATATACAGTGGGTCAGCTCTGCATTAGTTCAATTTCCAGGTCAGATTTTACAGTTATCATTAGCTCTTTATGGGTACTTGCCCTCAAATCCTGCAGGTGGTAGTCTTCAGCTGTGCCTTCTATCTGTTCATCTAGCTATTCTAAAACAGAAAAGGAGGTGCAGAGGATGGGAAAGTGGTCATTTGCCCTTTGGATGTGAGGAGGCTCAAGGGATGGCTTATGGCCCCTCACCTGAGTTGTTGCAACTGTCAAAGATGCTTTGGATATTTTTCCAAACATTTTGGGTTTCATAAAACATAAAAAGAAATCTCTTAGCCAATACTTTCTAAGCACTTAAGCTGGGGTAACAATTTTAAACACTAAAATCACAAACGTGATAGACTGGCTGTTTTAGCTGACCTACTTGAGACTTGCCAAGAACTGACTGACTTCCTAACAAGTAATAGGGTCAACTGTTCTTCAGCTCACAGAAAACTTTATTGGATATACACATCATGTTTGCAGCATAAATGTATGGCTTAACAAATGCTCTGCAATTTCTTCTGAGCCCTGGACAGTCGATTAAAAGAGTCAGTTCTGCTGCAGCTGGACAGACCACTCACTAATCTAATTGGTATCCTGTTGCTCCCTCTCTCTGCTGTTCTCACACTGTGATGATCAAGGCAGCCACCTTCTTGTCCCTCTCTCCAGGGAATACTCTGAAGCCCACTGCGTTTCCCTTCTCTGTGCTTTTAATCAGATCAAGGGTGATTATTCATTTGGAAATCTGCCACATGTGATATTGTGGGATTCTATGAAATGAGAACAGGGAAGGATAATGTGGACAGTCCCAGCGTTCAGGTGCCCGTGCAGAAGGCTGAGTGTCAGTGGTGTGTGTTAGCACAGCTACCCCTCCACCCAGAATGTACTCCAGCCAAAGGCAACTTTCCCCTGTCCACACCTTGGGCTCCTTACCTGCTGCTGTGTGACAGATGGGCACAGGTGCCTCCTTCCTTTAGCCACCCGCAGTACGGGTCTCTGGAGGCAATGCAGGTTCTGTAGGAAGAGGAGACCATGAGCTACCTAGGACTGTTTTCTATCCTCTGTGACTACCTAATTATTAGTGTGGCAAAATACATACTTTTTACATTTCCCATGTCGTTCACACCGGCCAAGTGGAACCTTTATCACACAGGTAGAGAATGCGACATACAGAGAGCTGCTTGCTCTGTCCAGCTGCATGCTCATAATCCTCTTGTCTTCTACTCCATCATAGCTGCACCTAGTTTTACAAGGCAGGATAATATCATTGACAGATGCTTTGAGTAGACTGTATTTTTCCCACCACTACTCTCACGCTCCACTTCCCAGCTCTTAATCTGATCCAACTAAAGTTGAAATAGATCCTACCACATGCACATACACATAAACACACATAGCCCAGCATGGTGGCGCATGCCTGTAATCCCAGCACTCTGGGAGCCTGAGGCAGAAAGATCACAAGTTCCAGCCCAGCCTGGGCTACTTAGTAAGACCTTGTCTCAAAATAAAGAAAAAGGGTTGGGTATGTAGCTCAGTTTGAAGGTCCTGTGTACAATTCCCAGTATCACAAACAAAAGGTAACAAAACTAGACTCATTATTGATAAACAAAAATAATTCTTTTTATGTGTTAAAAGACTTCTATAAATAGTATGAAAAGTTGCCTAAAAATACATACAATTTAAGCCTGCATGACTTTCTTTGAATGCAAGGGATTCCAATAACATAACAGTGACTAAATTAAGAACCAACGTTCTACTCACTTTTCTGGGTTGTAAACATTCATCTCCTCCAGGAAGAGGCTGTCATTTAGGAACCCACTGTTTCCTATCCTGGCCAAGAACTTCAAGATGATTCCCTTTTCTGATCCCAGGAAAACCACAGTGTGATTCTGATACGGCCCAGCAGCAGTGTCCACTGCAATTTTGGTCAGGCGGTATCTAAAATGACAGGATCATATTTTTTATCTCTTGTTTGTCTATCATTACAGTGTTCCTTTTTCTACTTCAAACAATTGTGACATAGCTTTCTAGTAATAATCTCAAGAAAAATATATGCATATAAATAATGTTCTCAAGCTGTTCTGGCCCTTTTTCCCATATGCAGACCATTAGTATGGCTCCAAAGGGGAGGAATGAGGTATGTATGGAGGCCAAGTTCCATAATAAACAGTCATTACCATCTGAAACCACTCAGCAACTGTCCTTTCCATGAGCAACAAGGAAAGACTGATGTCTCCCATAGAGGTGGTAAGAAGCAAAAGTGAACACATGCAGCATTCCTTTTAACATTGAGAATATGTGAGGGCTACCATATACCTTTTTCTATACTCTTCCTCTGAAAAGCAAAGCCTTTATCCACAAGATATTAGACTAGATGCTTTCCAAACGTATGTACAGAGTCCAACAGAATTCTGAAGTTGGAAGGGTAATGGCACCACCAGTAAATGTAAGGATATTAAAGTCAAGCTATGTTCCATGTAGAGCCAAAGGTGAAAGGCATGCCTAGAAATAAATCCTACAGAGTATCCTCTTTCTCTGAAATCCCTTGGTCATTCAATTTTCCATACCTGTACTTTAATATTTTTTTAATGAAGTAAGGCTAAAAAATGATGATAAAGTCAGTTAACATTTTGTTTGACTACCACAACTGGATGGTACTTGCTGTTGTATTATTTGAAAATAACCTCTAAAAAACAGGGAAGAATACTTAATGCTATTGTAGATCTCTAATCAGCTATCGCTTCTCTGTTGGCCACCAATTAAAATAACCAATACTATAGTAGGAATTCTTCATGCTGTCCTACATCTGCAAATGTGGAACTATGCTGTTTGACAGCTAACAATCCAAGGGACATGATCAAGTGAAATCTCCTGCATGTTTTATAATCACATCCAACCAAAAGGGTATCTCTATTTATTCATCATGTCTTCTTTACCACACCATTATTTTGCACAGACTGAATATAATAAGCTAACCCGGAAGGAAATATCTTTCTTTCCTCTAATTGCTGGCAAGTGTACAACTAGCCTGAAAATACTGGAACTCTGCTCAAGATGAATATGGCTATGAGGATTTGGTGGCATCCACCCAACCTGCCAGCTTTTCATAGCTGAATCAATGCCCAGGATAGCAGAAGATGTTTGTGGCATTTCAAAGCATGATCTATCAATACCTTCTATGGGCATAAGACAAAGCCGGGGAAATCTGTTTAGGATCTGGTTGGCACTGGTACCCACCTGACCATTGTTCTCAGGAACCACGGTCTGTTGATAATGGCAGGCACCGCTTCATCCATGAGCGGATGTGTCTTAATGAAGTTCAGGGTATCATCGGGAAACTCATTGGAGGTCACATATTTTTCTAAGGAGGATGAGCCAGCACAGCAACCTGGTCTACAAATGAAATAAAATTCTTTGAATGAACCACTTCCCTAAGCATCTGGCATGGAGGAGAATGTACTGCAGGCTGAGAAGAGGAAGCTGAACAATACAGAATGCCACCAAGTGCAATATGCTGAGATTTCCTCTTGGCCGCCTCCTCATTGTATAAAGAAGTCTTGGCCAGTGAGGTTCAGCTGCATCTCGACCACCACCTTGGCTTCCTTCCAGAAGCACAAACATGTCCCAGGAAACATGCATGGAACTTGAAATAAGTGAATGAGTGTGTGGTTTGCACATATCTCAGGAGCGGCTCTACTCATTCATGCTAGCTATTCAGGGATTTGTTCTACAACGGGAGAGAAACGACTTTTATACAAATGTAGAAAACTCACTTTTTGTTATTGGTTTTATCTTTATGTGATTTTGGCATAAAAATTCATCATATGGAAGATTCTTCCCTGACATGTCAGTTCCTGGTAACTGAAAAGTGACAGTAAAAATGCACTTTTACAAGAAATGCTATGGCTTCGGGAGTTAAGGGTTATCCCAGAAAAGTCAGGTCAGGGAAATACCAAAGCCAGTATCTGGCTTATGTGCTGGTGCCAGAGATGAGTGTGGGGCCTCACAGCATGGGTATGATGTACCCTCATGCTGTCTATCTCCTGCGCATTGCATCAACACAGCCAGCCCCGCGAAAGCACCCTGATGTCTGCAAGGACAAGGCAGGTGGGGAAACCCACCTGTATGGGCAGAAAATCACTTAATGGCATGGGCCCTGGTGATGACTGAACAACATCTTACATACCAAGGAGAGAGCACCACATGCCTGTTCCCTAAAACCTGACCCTCTGGCTTCACTCCCCTTCCTACTCATCTAGCAGGTAGTTAACAATCACAGATGACGACTCAGAGCCTCTATCTGAGGTTTCTCTCCATAAGCACAGAGCATGAACATACATGACTAACTCAAGCGGCGAAGATGGATGACCAGTTGAGCTTTTCCTTGGAGTATGGGGTTTCATAGTTCTGTACTAGTAGGTATTTGAATGAGAGGTGAGAGGTTGGGGGAGAAATTTAGAAGATAAAAATAAAATTAGTAAGACACTGGACTTCTTCCAGAGAGAGTGGAGATGCTTCCACACAATGTACATTGTGAATAGTGTAATGAAGGTGTGGCAGATGCTGCATGTAGGGGTGGGGTGGGGTGAGCTCCAGCCTATTCCAGGTAGAATTAGCCATTTCAGTAGGAGGGTTTAAAGGACTATGAACTCTCTGAGTTGTTCCTGGGACATAGGCTTCCATGTAAGCAATTCTAGGGTGCTCCATGCTGCATATGAACTCGAAACTGGCCAGAATATGGGAAGCCAGAGATACCCTAATATCCACGATTCCCACTGGACTCATCTTGCTCTTAGCTGTGTCTTGGATTCAGCTCTAATCTAGCTCTAATCTAATCATAACATACAGGGAAGCAGGAAAGAGCAACAGAAACAATCTCTCCAGCTATGAGGACTTGTACAACACACTTTTTCTCTTTGGGGCTCCATTTCCCCAACTACAGACCAACACAGCTAGTATCAGATGGTTCCTTCACCTTAACAGTACACTGGATGAAATATATGTAGAGAGAGGTTAAGTAAGCAATGAGTAGAGAGTCATTGTTTTGTATGTACTAAAGATACCTCTGGATTTTGATTAAGGAGAGGAAGGCAAATGAACTAGAAGGCATTTCTACTATTGTATTATCTTCCTGGCTGGCATGGAGGGCAGAGGTATGCAGTTCACAGGATGTTCACTGTCAGAGGAGCAAGCTTCATTTCTTTACTAGAAGTTTAAAATAGTCAACTAAGTATTTGGATGTACCTGGGCTTAGGGACTCGTTCATCAGGAACTGGTGTCCAAGTAGAATCGGGAGACTTCTGTTCCTTGAATCTCCCAGTAAAAACACTGGCAATGTCAAGCATGTCATAGGCACAGACTGCGGACCCTGGGATGCTGCAACAGGACGATTCACAGTGTTATGTGACCATTATGCACATAGTTTGGATAACATGCTCTCAAGAAATTTTATTACAGATAATTATAAAGTTCATATCCCAAATACTGCAAATTAAGAGATCTTAATGCATAAAGAAATATGTTTTGGTCAATCAAATATGCATCAACAGTCTTAAATATGAGAAAATGAAAAAATGGAAACAAAATCTTTGTAAATAGGGACGAATGGAGGGGTTGAAGGGAGGGCAGGGGAATGGGGAAAAAAATAAGAACCAAGAGAGATCATGTAAAGGCGCAAATTTCCAATGATGAATGTCATTATATTGTATGCCTAAAATGTACCAATAAAATTAATTTAAAGTCAAAAAAAAAAAAAAAAAAAAGAATGGTCCAGCTATAGTGAACTCAAAAGACAGAAAAAACCCTTCATGCCTTCTTTGCTTCCTGAACCACTTTTATTTATAAAGGAAAAATCACTGAGCTGATAATAGACATTTTATAAATTCTCTCATATTAACCACTAGCCAATAATCCAAAGATAAAAATTTCTAAAGAATATTCTACATCTGTAATGTGGGTAAAAATGTGAAAGAAAAGTACCCCCTTTTCTACATATTACTTCTTTGAATTTGGTTTTTTGCACCAAGTTCTCCAGATGTAAGAATGTGGAAGTGGGGGAAGGAGTAAGGGGTACCCACATATATTTTATATCAGTCACTATACCTTTATAAATTTTTACTTCATGTTTATTTGCACAAGACCAAATAATTTAAGTGTCTAAAACACTAGCATTTTGGAAATAAAGTACTCTATCAAGTGCTAAATAATAATGACAGTAATCTCCATGTATAATTGCATCCTTGCCTTACAGTTCTGGCAGGACTTAGGCATTTTTTTCCATCAATTGTGGAAAGATATAAATTATTCATTCTTCTGGGTACACTGTTTACATTTGATCCCATGTTTGTTTTTGACTGTGTTTGCTACTTGAGTTTGACTAAATAAATTGAATGGTAGGTACCAACTGGCCATGAGTTTTAATCAGGCTTTGAGGTACTGAGCCATTACCCGCAGGGCATCCTGGGTAGAGACTCAGGTGCCTTGCAGTATGGGAACATCAGTCAGGCGAGGTGGAATTTAGTCTTGATTTTATAAATGTTATAAGACAGTGATTAGGGATTTTTATGCCACCTTTAATTTGGTAATACAATTATTGAAGTGTTACTCATAAAGCAAGAAACAGGATTAAAAATTTTAAAACAAGGTGGCAGGATGAATTTGAAAATATACAATTTATACGTGTATATATATTTTTCACAGAATGGAGTTTATAAGAGAGTAGCCCCCATTTGCCTTGGAATTTCAGAATCTGGCATTAATTATTTAATTTTGTAAGATTCTTTTCACATCTTCCTTTCCTAAATATAACAAGTTTACATACTTACCCAATGTCTTGAGAAAAATCAGATAAATATCACCTGAGGAATTTTATGATGCACTCCATAATGACTAAAGATACCCTATGGTTTTGTAATATTCCTATGACCAGAAGTACTTTTGAAATCTGTTTTTCTTCTTTCTTCCCTTCCTCCTTCCCGTCCTTCTCTTCATCTTTCCTTCATTCCTTTCTTTCCATCTTCTGTTCATCACCATGTATTTGTGAAATCCCTCTATAGCAGGAAGTGCTCCATACATAGTAGAGTCCTGCCTGTCTTTGGCTCATAGTTCAGAGTAGAGGCAAGTACAATAACAGCCACAAAAACACCAGGGCAATCTGCTAATGGCAGTGTATGAAAGAAAGCGGCATAGTTTCATGAGAGGTGACTGAGCTGAGAGGGGAGTCAAGGGCAGATGTTGGGGGGCAGGCAGACCTGGCAGAGAGCAATGCACTAGCAGAATATGGCACATTCCAGAACCAGACTTTAGCTCTGGAGGCCGTGGGATATGTGGGTGGCAGAGGTTGGGAGGGGAGACAAGCTCAGGAGGGAAGGAAGCCAGATCACGCTGGGACTGGTGAGCCATGCCAAGGAGCTCTGGTTTTCTTCAGGGCAAAGGGGGGGCCCTCAAAGATTGGAAACCATCTGCATGTGTGGAGAATGGAGAGGGTGGAGTGGGGTGAAATTAGAGGGAGGAAAGCCAGAGCAGGGATATAATTTATAGATGAAAATGGTTATATATATATTTTTTAAACTGAAAATTAAATTACCGCTTTTTGATTTTACTGAACAAGTATGATTTCTCAGACTGCACATGCATCCTTGTGGACTAAGCGGCGTTTCTTAAGGACCACTTAAGAAAATACTTTAAATAGAATATTTATAATACCCAGAAATTCACTGAGTTTTTAAATCTAAAAGTAACGTACACTTTCAAAATACCGTAGAAAACCCCTCAAACTAAAAAGGTGTGCTCTTAAATTCCACTAGCTATTGCATTTCCATTTACCAAGACAGTATGCTTGGTACAGGTGATATTTCTTACAGGCCACTTAAGAAAATACTTTAAACGGAGTGAATATTATACACACGAACCCACACTTAAAAAAAAAAAACAACAAAAAAGAAACTGTCAAATTAGAAAATACAATCAAATTCCCAAAGCTCCTGCATCCTTGTGTACCAAGGTAGTATACTTTTACAAAATCTGTGATAGGTGAGTTCTGATATATGAACAATCAAGCCTGATTTTTTAAAAAACTCTGTCTTCAAGTCTGAAAATCTCTACAGATGGTTAAAGCTCACCTAAATCTAATAGAGTACTTCTTGCTGCAATGTAGGCTCATATTTTCATTTATCTTCAGAAGGAAATGCTTGACTCTTACCCTCCATGTAATTGAGGAACAAGAGTTCATCCTTCTGCTTGCTGCGCTCTGAGATCTACCCAAGTCCCGAGCATTTCTTTTCAGATGCCCTCCTCTAATCTCTAATCTTTGTGTCTGTCAAGTAGGCATTCATCAAGTTCTTAAAAGCCTTTGGAAAAGATATAAACCAAGGCAAACCAGTATATTCCTAAAGGAAGATATTCCACATGGAATACGAAAAATTCTGCATAGAAATGAAAATATGGTACATTTGGTTTTCATGGCCATGTCCAATTTTGTGATTATTTTCACACAACAGTGCCAGGACTGAAATCTTGTGGGCTTAACAGAGAGCTTAGTGCCAGGAAGGGACATGAACACTTTCCTTTTATTCTGTAATCTTTACACATTTTCACCACCAGAGAGCAATTATTGTGACTTTTTTTTGTCTTAAAAGTCTTAGCTTAACAAACACAAAAACAGGAGTGAACTGGCTGACACTCAATATGCCTAGGTACAGTGTTTGATGACTAATAAATCCTGTCGGGAGCCCTCCAGAGACAATGGTGCTGGAGTTCGGATCTGGGCCATGACCCAATTTGTTGACTGAGGTCACCTGAAGGCAACTTCTTGAACAGGGCAATAATCAGAATCCCTGGCTAGGATGCTTAATAGATTCATTTGAATCCTGAATTTCACTTTGTAACATTGTAATAAATTTCCAGGGCTTTTGCTTCAAAAGGAAAAAAGCAAAAGGCTTTTGCTTTCAAAAGGGCTTTTGCTCAGTAATGGAAATACTACAAGTCAAATAGAATGTTAGATGACTTATAAGAGACAGGAGAAACCTTCCTAGGTCCAAATCTGCCTCCTCCATTACTGACTGACTACCCAACCAGGTCATATAATATCTTGAGCTCAGTCTTCAAGTGTAAAAAGAGGATAGTATTATTTAGCTTCCAGGATTACTGGGGGAATTTACAAATAGCACATAAAAAGTATATGCCAGCCATATAGAGAAGATATTGTTATAATTTATTTACTTCCCCCAAAACCCTACTTTAATAATGCTTACACATTCTGATTAATTCATTGATGAAAACTAAGTGTTAAGTGCTTCTTAGCTACAAGTAGTGAACGGCAATGTTGGGTCCGTTGCAAATATCATGTATTAGAGGAGAATCCCCTGGGGAGAGGAAGCCAGAAAGAACCAATTAGGTCACATAACCGGGGCATGGTTACCTGTTGTAAGGTGTGGAAAAGGTTGCCAGGACAACATCACGGCCGTTAATACGAATCACGTCTGTAACGGCCTGGAGTATGTTGAAATAAAAGTGAGAGTCTCCGGGAACTGAGCAGTTCAGGCGGGCCTTGAGGAAAGATGTCCACTGTTTCTCCAGGACTCGCTGAGAGCCTCCCATGTCATTCTTACAAACTTGAGCCACTCGAGGGAAAATGACCTGAGAGGAAAAACAGGGAAAATGAGATGCAGTCATTTTGCCAGAAGATCTTAGTAGAATTTGCCTTTCCTTGACAACAGAAACAGAACAACAAGGTGCTTAATTTAATATTGTGTTTCTAAAATCAGTTGGAAAAAAAGAGGAAAACTCGGCATTGGAACAGCATGTTTTAAAAGATAAGGCTGTGGCATTTAATACAGAGCCATAAATCCTTCAGGGAATCATCTCCCAGCCACATAAACTCATTTCCATACAGACTGCTTAGCTTTTTATTTCCTCAAACAAAAGCACACTTTGTATGCACCAACACTGCCATCCTCACTGGCTGCCTCTAGGGCCCAAATCTCATACTTTGAGTGTGAGTCCCTCTAACTAACTGTGCAAGCCACCCCAGCATTTTATGTGTGCCCTCCAAGGTTGTGACCTTGATCGAATCGCGGGTAAAAATAACTGATGTAGACATCTCCTAACTGTTCTATTGCTTTTTGCAATAAAGAAAAAAACTCTGCTTAAAGATAATATATA